TTTTTTTTTTTTTCTTTTGCATTTTCATTATTCATCTAAAACCGACTGTTATAAACATTTGTTAGGGAAGGATTCAATGCAGTCATTTCATAGATACATAATTGTTGTTGAAGAGCAGAATTTTTATATGATTTAACTTCCCATCTTCCGTTCAGGGCACCTAGCAACATAATCTGTCTGGAGATTATCAAAAAAAATTCTCGCAAAGTGAAAAGTTGTACTGTGTATTATTATGACCCGCTGCAGTGCAAGACAGAAGTTTGAATTTGCTAACAACTCCGCTGGAAAATATCTATTACATATAAATTTTTGCCGGAGATTCCCGGAACAATTTTTCAAAGGACAATTAAAGAAAATACACCGGAAAGAATAGTGTATTCCTTTGTTAAAGAGACCTTCACTTTTTTTTCTTTAGAAGTTTTTTTTGTCAGGCTGCCGCTGTCGCTTTCATAGATGTGCATCGGCTTTCGTCGAGGATTTGGATTCTGTTTGCTGAACTTAAATAATTTTTTCATGTCACTTGCTTTCAGTTTAACCTCGTGTCCTCTCTTCTGTAGTCAAAAGTTGCTTCTAGTTGGTGGGGGCTTTCGTCCAGTTTATGAGTGTAAAATCAACGGAGAAGAAGGAATATTACAGGGTTTTCATTGCTTTGTTCTTTCATTTTTACCAGTTCAAAAATGATTCATCAGGGGAGGTCACTCAAGTTAAATAAAGTTAACAGTCTTCATACTTTTTTATCTCGTAATGAATGTTATGCTGCTTTTAAGACCTAGATTAACTTGTGTAAAAGTTTTGTATTTTAGAATAATGAAGACTATAACGAGGATAATGCTGGGTAAACTGATAAGTTTTGATAACGATTACTTTACAGTTTTTCTGAAGCTGGAGAGGGGACGAGTGGATGGAGGAAGGGTGAGAAGAAGGACGCAAATGCAAATCTTTTAATGTTGAATTAAAGTAAAAAAGAAAAGGAAGCAAATGTTGCACGTAATTTACAGGAAGTTGCTGGTAATTGTCAAAAAAAAAATAATAAAAAAAAAAAAAAAAAGAGAACGGTTAATTGACAATCTGTTGGTTTTTAACTTTTTACGTCAGGGCTGCTCTTTTTACGATATCATTAAAATTTCCTGTTGCTGGTTGCGGATCGAAGTAAACGAACTTTTGGATTCACCATCGAGACTCATTCTCGTACAGTACCGAAACGTTATTGAAAGATTTGTAGGAAAAAAAATTTCTGTATTTTCTATTATTATCAAT